ATTTGCTGTGTGTGTCTTGTCCTACGGTGGATACTGGCTGTATGGAAAACACTGGTGGGTATTTCATGCTATGAATGAGACAGAGTGCACAAATTCCCGTTTTCGCGTCCTAATTATGTATAATGTTTCATCAGTGACAGCGTCCTGCGCAGAGAGGCGTGTCTATTAGCCAGGGTAAGGTGTCACTGAATTATTACTCCAAAACACAAGTTTCCTCTTTGTGACAGTTATCCTTAACATCATCATTTGTGTTAGGAATATGGACAGCAGCAGATAGCACCACAGGAGCGAATCAGGAAAGCAACTGTGATTTTGAACCCTGCAGCTTGCAACGGGTAAGACGCATAATCTCCAGACGTCTCTCTGAGAGTCTTGTTTAATTTTTCTCAGAATATTTACAGCTTCCTGTGTTAATTTTCTCCAGGAAAGCCAACAACCTATTTGAAAAGAATGCTGCTCCTATTTTACACCTGGCTGGTGTGCAGATTACAGTAGTCAAGGTATTGTTTTCTATTTCAATTGGATATTTATCAGGTAATAGTGTCTCTGAGAGTGTCACAGAGCATGACATCACATCCAGATATTACATATCCCTCTACAGACAGACTATGAAGGTCAGGCTAAAAAACTGATCGAGTTAATGGAAGAAACAGACATGCTGATCGTGGCTGGAGGAGATGGCACGTTGCAGGAAGTGATCACAGGTTTACTGAGAAGGCCAGACCAAGTAGGTGTAATGTAATATAGTAACTGTGTTAATCTGACATCAGTTGTCTGTAATAACTATACTCAGTCTGATACGTAATTAAATCTTTCTTTTGGTGGATGTTTTCTGACCACAGGACGTCTTCAGTAAGACACCAATTGGATTCATTCCACTAGGCTCCCATAATTCCCTCAGTCCAAGTCTTCATCTCCTCAGTGACAACAAGGTCAAGTAAGTAATGTTTCAGCATCACACACAAAAAGATCATTACATATTCCCACGACAAACTTCACTGGGTTGTTATCATGTCACTCAGTAAATCTATAGTACAGAATTCCCGATTTCTTCCATTAACTAGAATGTTTTTAACGTCATTCATTTTCCAGGGACATCACATCAGCGGCACTGTCAATACTGAAGGGAGAAACTGTACCGCTGGATGTGCTCCAAATCAAAGTGAGAAACTGCTTATATATTGCTCTACATAGCCTTAAAGTTACAAACTAATGTCTGTACTTATTTAAAAACATGTTGCTGTTTTTAACAGTAAGCCGGTAAACTGGATTCATAAAGCACATTTTCCAAAGTTATTTAATATTTATTTTAAAAGCCATCAGGTAAAATATATATATATATTTTAAAAAACATATATGAATATTTATTATAATAAAAGAAAATTACAAGAAAAAATAAATGCGTTTTATCAGTTTTTGTGAGTATTTTCTGATTTTTCCATGTGACATTATTTTTCAAGTTTAAAAAATATATACATTGATTTATTTTGATGATTTTCTGTTATTCTCCTTTTGTACCACTCAAACGTATTTATTCATTGACTTTCTTTTCATATTTTGAATACACGTTGGCCTAAACGTAAACATAAACTATTATTTTTTTATTTTCTTCTTAATATTTAATATTCTCTTTTGCCATGTTGTCGACTTTAAATTCAGCAGAAGAAATAAGCAAATTTAAATTCAGGTCTTCATGCAAATTATTTCATGTCCAAGGTGTGTAGTAATTAAAAAAAGTTCTTCCCAGAGACTTCAGAATCCTTGGCACTTGGGCTGTGCCATATCATATCATCTGCAACAATATACATTTTTCCATGATATAAAAGTGTCATATTGCAGTATCTGTCCCATCTCAGTGACACCTGTTTATGTTTCCTAGCGCACACAACTGAAAGACAAGCCAGACTGTCTGACAGCAAGCGCTGAATTTCAGTTTTCAATTAGGGTTCAGTAAATAAGGAGCTACTTCAACAACCTCTAAAAAAGCACAGATCAAAACAAACAAAGAAACTCTGTGGAGTATAACCAGGTCAAGAAGGAGGAGAGACTAGCAGCTGGTGATGTGCTACCCAAAAGTAAACAGATGACACAACTGCATACCGCTGCCATATGATAGGATGAGCAAACAGTGGATGGAAATTACTGGCGTGGTTACGTGGTGGAAAAACATGACTTTAAGCAGCTCGACCCACGACACCAAATCCCAGGTAGAAAATATGAGGTATAGAGAATCATATACCCATCCCTTTTCCTGCAAATGGTCAATAATGGCCGACTCAATAAAGTAAATAAAGTATGCAATGGCAAGTTAGTGACTGTTTCTGTAATTACAAGTAGAGATGTGTGGTGCTCTGATTCTACACTCAGTCAAACTGACAGTGTTTGACTCTTAGAATATAAAATACAATAAAAATAAATAAATACATAAATAAATTGACAACTAGCTAAGTGAGGAAGTAAATACAAAGCTGAATGCATCATTTTAAAAAGAAGTACTTTACATATACATGTTGTTATCCTTGATATTTAATGATGCACTGAAACTATTCTCAGTTCTATAAAAGTGGGAATTTAAACATGAGACATGTTCAAATGTAGTTTTTAGCCGTCAGCTGTAAAAGACTGATGGAGTATTGCTGTCAGTACCCACGTTTGTGAATGTGAGAACGAGGTGACATGTCTACTGGGAGAAACTGCATTGTTTTAACACTTGGACAGGAGTTTGACTTTGAAGTGTATGTGCTTGTTTTCCCAGGGAGAGAAAGAGCAGCCAGTCTTTGCTCTGATGGGACTGCGTTGGGGGGCTTTTAGAGATGTGGCTTCAAAAATCAGCAAGTAAGATTACTCAACACTGTAACTAGACGAGGAAGACAATGATTCTTCACATATAAGAATAATTAACCATAACGTTTCCCTACAGATATTGGTACCTCGGACCGCTGAAGACAAATGCGGCGCATTGGTTTAGCACTCTGAGGGTAAGGATGTTCTCTTTCCTTAAACATGCTGGCAAAGCGATTAATATGTCAATTTCCCCTTATTTTCTCCTGCATTGAAAATAACAGCAAACATCTCACTCCATTAACCTGTTGTAGTGTAAGTTTCACATCCTTAAAAAAACTTGGGGGGTACATTTTGAAACGAGTCAGTTGGTGCAGCGGTAATGACACTATTCATTCACTACTATGTTTTAGGAGTGGCCTCTGGTCCGGGATGTCTCTGTGTCCTATTTGGCTCCCACGCTCCGGCCCCCCGACCTGCCCCCTGTGAAGGCCCCCAGGCCGAATCTGATCCACCGCATCATCCACAGGCTGAAGAACTACTGGAACCCACCAGCTGAAGGTGAGCGAATGTGACTGAACTTGAACAACTTGTAGCACAACAGCCCAGGACACTGTTTGTCTAATTGTTGCTTTGGTGGTTGTGTGTTTGGTCAGAGCTTCCAAAAGTGGAAGAGCCAGAGAAGTGGGAGGAGCAGCAGCTGTCAACGCTAGAGCTCTTTATTCAAACACACAACAAAAACCCAGTGGAGAGGGTCAGTTAAAAACCATTATATATGTAAAGCTGTGTTGCTATTCTTAGAAAAACAAAAGAAAACATCATGTCACTGCCCCTTTTAAGTGCTCTGTGCCTCTCGGAAGTTTTTGCATTCTTTATTTTAATTTTCAGCGCATCAATGACTCCCTCAGGATCAGTGCAGAGCCTCACAACTTGACCGTGGGCGAGTTCATTACTGCAGGGTCAGTAATGTTTTTTCCTAAATTTCTGAAAGTGTGTGATTGTGCAAAATGCATTCAATGATTTTAATCCTTCTTCATAATAGCAATAAAAAAGCAGCAGACCCGACTGTATTCACTGAAAATGCCACAGAATTGGAGGCTGGTGCTTGCTGGCTGCAGCTGCCAGAGGTCAGAAATCCTTTAAAATCAAACCTGCTTTAAGGCTGTGATTCTATAAGTCAGTCTACTTCCAGAAGATCAGCGTGCGAGTTTTTGCCCTGACATTTAACTTTGCCACGGTCCCCGCAGGGCGCCTCTGGCTTCTACAACATCGACAATGAGGAGTATGAGGCGATGCCTGTGGAGGTAAGGCTGTTGCCACGGAAACTCCGTTTCTTCATCAGTGCCGAGCGCAGAGAGCAGCTCCTCTCACAGATCCAGTGATGAGAAAACAGAAGCCGAAAGAAGACAAGAACAGCGGGACAGAAGCCGAATTCGAGGGAAGCCAAAGAACCAGATGCCATCAAACCCAGAGTTCACCCTCAAAATGGATTTTTGCTTCGCCAGCAGTTTTTTAAATGATCATGAAGTGCTGATGGGGGCTGTTTTACTCCATGTAAACATAAAATATTCAGTACCAGTTACAAAAACAACTACCTTACAGGCTGTTTGCTGTATGTAAAAGGACCAAGGCTTCTTTTCTAAGCCAGTAACCCATGTACAGGCTGTCTTACAGGATGTTTACTGAAAAGTTCACTATTAACATGGTCAATAAAAATAATGTCTGCCCACCTCGGTGCAAGCAGTTTTTCTCCCTTTGTGATATTTATGTGTTCGATATCAAGGTTATAAAGCCATCAAAGCTGCACTTCTGCTGGTCTTCTTGGAAAAATTGTCGAGCTCATTTAAAGAGAAAGGAGCAAGTGACTGAGTAAAGATCAATGTGGGGACGTTGTGCCGACCTGAGTGTTTTGCAGTAGCTTGGACCTGGAGTTTTGGCACGCTGCACGGAGATGCCGAGTCTGATGGGACAGATGGCGTTAAGACAGCAAATCTGCAGGATTAAGCTTGTGGCTGCTTTGTGGGGCCCGTTGAGAATGCTGTGGGTTCATTTTGGTTTGGTTGAAAAATCTGAAGGTTTCAGGCGGAATATAAACGGAATTTCTACGTTTTTGCTAAAGAACGACTGACTTTAAATACAGTTTGTTTGTTTTTTACAGAGGAGGACTATTAAATTGAAATAGGAAAATGATGCGGTGTTAGAAGATTAGATAACGCTTGAACCGTATCAGTGTTTTATTGTTTTACAATGGCAGTACAGTGAAACTGACAGTTGCTCATGCTATTGAGTTCTCGTGTACATTACTGACATCTCTTACAGTGTTTCGCATTAGTAGAGGTGAAGACTTGTTATTGTGTGATTACGCTTACAATCAAGAAAAAAAACAGTCACACTATTTGGATACGTTGCTGCATGTGTGCAATACTTTTGCCGTCTGTGACATTCAGTAATGTGAGAAGGCTGTACAAACGAATCATTTAGCTAATGCTGGTACACATCTGTGAACAGTTCCACAAAGAAGGCATTTTATACAGTGGTTTGTGTTGTGCACATTCCCTTTTTTTCTTTTAAACATTAAACATACATCTGGAAAACAAACGCTGTCAGAGGAAAGATGATATATCAGCTGATAAGTGAACAGACTAGGTAGTCAATCGTGGAAAAGCTAAGGTCATTCTGAAGTTCTCATGACAGTGTACGTAATGTTTTCAGAGAAATCAGTCACCTTGCTCTTGTAAGTTGAAAAACGTCACATTATGATAAGGCCCCATTCAAAAAACAGGGCTTAAAGGGGACCTACGATGCTCATTTCCAGGTCATGTTTTTGAATGGATACTACTAGAGTTGCTTTGCATCACTCAGAGTTCAAAATAATCCTTATTTGTCTTAAATACTTGGCTGTGGTGCAGATCTTTGACGTTTTAGTTTCTCTTCCTTTCTGATTGGCTGCCCCTCACGAACAGGAGGTGGGGCTTCTCATCTACACAGAAGCAACATCTTAAATATATAACACTGTGAAAAATGACTGTTCAGAGAATCTGCTTCCCAGACCTCGTTATTTGAAACTTTGGCCATGTTTAGTATGAGCGTATATGAGCCACTAAGGAAATGCAGAATAGGTCTCCTTTACTACCCTTTTCTTAAATATACAACACTTAGTGCATTTTATTTTCTTAACAAAGCCAGAAAAAATATGCTTGGGGTGGAGTACGCCAGAGAGAAAGTTAAAACCACTTCTTCAATTTTATACAAGGCAAACGTCAGACTTATGTGTTCCAACATGGAACAAATTATCACCGTGGTTGGCAAAGGGGTGGCTGAAATAAAAGCACTCTGCCAGCAGTATTCAAAAGACACAGTTGGCCCATTTCTAAAGCTGGGTTCACTGATGAAAGGACTGAGAAAAACAGACGGAACAGACCGAGTCCTTTCCGTGAATTTGCCCACAGAGGAGTTAAAGCTTCTGCTCGGCTCAGGACGTTACAGGGTTTTTTTTAAACGCACACAAAGAGATCTTTGTCATGAACACATCTGAACAGGAGCTGATCAACAAACAGCTTCATCGATTACGCTTTAGTTAGCAGAATTCTAAGAGACATATGAACTTCTGCTCATGAACAAGGCTCTGCAGTAGTTTGAAAAAGAAAATGTGACGGCTCATTTACAGGTGCTCCCGCTCTGGAACAACTAGATGGCTCAGACTGTAAATCATAAAAACAGCATATAAAAAGTTCAATTTAAGCGTGACTGTGTGTATCGGGAAACAGTCCCGTGGCGGACGTGGTGCAGCATTCACAATAAGAGTTACACATTCATTGAAAAGTCTTCCACCGATTATGACAAATGAGAAGCTTCGACGTACAACAATGTAAAAGGTTTCCAGAATGCGTCGATCTCCTGCACTCTGTGATATCTAAATATTGTTTAAGGTGCATGGAGGTGAGCAAGGTCCTTAGAACAGCTTTTCCCTTATCACTCAGATTCATATTGCTTCCTTTTTCAAAGGCAATTAACGTGGTCCAAAAGCTTTTTTTCCCCCCCCTCAACCATTTCAGGAATAGTCAGACAAAAAAACAAAACATAAGAACAGAATTACAGCTGTTATTCTGAGGTCTGTGTGATTCCCCAGGAAAGATATCTGAAGTGCACAAATTCATTTCGAGGAACCTTAAATCCATTTTTTAGACAAACCACAAGTGGACGTCAAAGTGCCGGTGACTTCACTACAGTAGCAGGTGCAATCATCAGACAGTTTACATTTTCATCCAGTGCTTCAGTCCTGGTCACTTAATCAAAGTCAAACAAGTGTGCACACAAGAAAACTGGTTCAGACAAAAACAGCAAGGAGTGACTCGCAGAAGATGTTAATGGCCACAAGTCTGCTCAGCAGTATTGGTGTTTATCACCCACTGTGAGGAAGTGCACAATGTTAGGTGTCCTTTTCTTCCACAGTGGTTGGAAACAGTCTCCTCAGGTTAAGATGAGACACACACACAGAAGAGAAGAGAGCAGATGAAGTCCCAGGATGGAGGCAGTGTCTTCAGAGTCTTGTATTTGTGACCCTAGTAGGCACATATAATCCAGGCTTCCGAGTTTCCCGGGTTGAATGGGGTTCAGGGGCAGCAGAGGTTGTCTATGACCAGCGTTACATCGAAACCATAAACCTCCAGCAGGTCGGCAAGGAAGGCTCGATCTCCCTGGGGATCCAGCCCCATGGCCCTCACGTGCTCACCGGTGAGAGTGGGGTCGGCGCTTCCTGCTACCTCTGACAGGGTCTGGAAGATGCGGTTATTAAGCTCCATAAAGAACCTAAGATGAGATTAAAGGCAACTGCATTAATACGTGGGCCACACTGCACTTGTCTGAGTATGACTCAAGTCCATTATCAACCATGCAACCAGCTGTCAAGGACTCACAGGATGAAAAGATCCTCTTCATTTGATGTGCAGTCTTCACCCACCTCCTGAGAGTACAGCAGCAGTTGCCTTTGAAAAGAAAAAGTCAGTCACTGTAAAATCTAAAAATAACAAACACTCATTTTGCAGCGTATTTCTATGACCACAAAACAAATGCATTTTGCAAATTTAAACAAAAAGAAAGAGGAGCGACACAATTTTAACGCACCTCTGCTCAGTCAGCTTCCTGTATTTCTCCTTGTCTGCTGCGGTCAGCCTGAGCAGCTGCTGCAAATGGCTCCTGTGAGTTTTCACATTCTGGTTATCGATATAGACGTCATACAGCTCCTTTTTCTCCTCAAAGATCTTCTCCGTGGTGCCTTCAAACATATCACGTGGGAAAACATGTCTATATAAAAGAACTCATCACTTTATGTTGTAAATCAAACATTTACAGTTAAACTTCACTCACAGGCCACGTATGACAGCTCTGTTTCCAGGGCAGAGATGTCGGCTATGTTGATGTAGAAGAAAGGCCGTAATTCAGGCACAGAAACTCCAATGCCAGGTAATGAAACGTTGGCCAGGCAGCAACAGCAATACACTGAGGGAATATGAAAATACTGAATGAAAACCCTCCAAAAAGAGGAAAAAACACCACACATGCTTCTCTGTTTGACTATTCGTTACATCTTGATCCCTTTGCATCACATTATTGTGAAAACAGAATGTGCATACGCAGTAAATCACATATTACTAGAGCTATAGAGAAATGTGCACAAGCTATGATTAAGCAACTCACCCCTGTAGCAGACAACTCCTACAGGTGGAGGCGAGAAGATGAGTATGCGCTTCCGAAGCAGCGCGAACTTCCACAGCACCATTATTTGCTCCCCGAAAAACTGGATGAACTGGGACATGCAGCCAGCCGGGTGGGTGATCTACAGGGTGCAAGTAGTGGCAAATGTGGTCATTTTTGGGGTTACGTTCGATGTTTCAGAGCATTCAAGACAAGGGAGCATCAGTAACCAAAGTGTGTGCTTTCAGACCTTCATTTCAGGGTGCATGCAGCGGCTTATATTAGTAACACTCCAGGTCGGGCAGGCGGTGACTAGTCCGTTTCCTGTAGGGGGAAGAATGGCCTTCTTATCCTCATAGAAGGCCTCTAGTGGAGAATACTGGCCAGGACACTGCAACTGGTGTCTTCAAGGGGATGACAAGGGGGAAAAGAAGGAATGTGAGCAGATTAAGCTTGAACTCACTTCTTTCTGCACATTCCCACCGGTGCTCACAGCTCATGTTACTACGTGGACTTTAAATTGTGTATTCAGTATTAGCCAGTGTTTGGTCCTCCTAACGCAAGATCACAGATTGTGCAAAGCAGAAGTTATCCATAAATTGCACAGTGAGATCATCTGAGGCCAGCTGTATGAAATAAATTTAACTTTTCTATTTGATTTAACCACTTAAGCCATACAGATCACACATTTTAGGCTTGCTACTGCAAAGTGTCACACATAAAATGTAGCCAAGAGTTCCACACTCCCTTCAAGTTACAGCAGATCTGCTTTAACTGTAACCCAAACCTGTGGTTGTGTCACATACTGTATTTCTACAGTCAGTGAGACTCAGGATTTTATCACAAGGAGAGCAGTGTTTCAGAAGAGAGGAGGAGAGATGCTGTTAACAGTATTTTCTTCACTCCTGTGCTAAGACTTCATAGAAAAACTGCATGTCAGTGGGTTCTTGTGACAAAAGCTGCAACTGGGATCCTGAGTTCATGTTTAATAAATGAGCCTATATTAAAGGCAGGCATATAAAAAGGAACCTGTGGGCAGGGTATGAAGAGGAAGGAAGAAAACAGCAACTCTACATGTCTGACCTGACTTGGTTCTCCAGGAAGTGCATGTAACGGTAGAGCAGAGTGTAGGATGGAGACAGAATTCCCACAGACTTCATTCTCGCTCCTCGTTCCAGCTCACTCTCCACGGGCATGTTCGCAAAACATGCCAGACCGAAGTAGCCACCCTTACGGAAATATCTGTCCAGTGGGCATAACGGAGAGCAGGAGACCGTCAGACTGACAGATTTCTGAGCCTCATTGAGCTGAAAATCTGACATGTGGAAGTACGTACATGAAGTCGCTGGTGATCCGATGAGAACCGCTGGCCATTGACTTGAATTCAACACCATCCAAGTTGATGTCATGAGGCAGGCACCACTCTATCATATTCCCTGCCATTCACAAATACACACACACAATAACCCATGAAGTCACTTCCTACACTGTCTACTTTCATCCTGGCAACTTCCTCCAATCCTGCATGTTAGTCATGTGTTAGCCAGAGGTCAGGGAGAGTAAGAAAGCAGTGACTCAGCCAACACAACTATGTAAAACGTGAAGAAACTTAGGAATTAGAGAGTTCTGATCAATTCTAAACAAGATCTAAGTGGAAGGATTTCCCCTTTAGACGATTTGGGACTTCAGTAACTTATTTTTGCATGAGCTTTAAAGGATGTTTGACTTTTGTCTCGTGTTGAAAGGTTGCCTCACAATAGTTGAGGTTATTTCTTCATTGTGGCTTTTATGAAAACCGTTCAGCATAATGCACGGTTGCACAGATAAAGATGTCAAAACATCACATGATCATCATTTCTGCGGTTACGCAGTCCATGTCTGAGAATTTTAAATGCGAAGGATAAAGAGACCAAAGTCTGCTTGCTCACCTGATCTTGTATCAAAGGTAACCACAAACACGGCCACTATCTGGTCTTTTTCCTCCCACTGATCCTTCACTGAGAGGCCGGGGAAAGGGGCGTTACGGTCTGTACCGAGAGGCTGCGGGCGATCCCAGCCGTGCCCGGACAGTTCGGTTCGGCCCGGGCTTCCGTCCCCTTTGACAACAACAGCAGCTGTCACATTGCGTGTCGGACCGGGGGGGATGATGATGGTGGTGGCGTCGATGGTGGTGCTGCTGCTCCACCCAGTACCAGCCGCAGTGTCTGTCGGCGCACTTTTCTCCGCCGCGGAGTCTTCTTCTCGCGGCGGCTGAGGCGTAGGTTGAGCCGCCTGGTTCGGATCGGGCGGTGGGATCTCCTCCCAGTCCAGGAGCGGGGCTCGGTCCGACTGTTCCACCATGGTGCTGCTGCTGCCTCCGAGGACACGAGAAAGAAGGGGAGAAAATACACAAAGCTCCGACGTGTCGAGCGGGTTAAGCACGGCGTGAGAGACGGATCATGCTTTCCTGCTGCTCGCGGAGTTGTTTTCTATGTATTTGTAAGCGTGTCACATCCACGGACGGGGCTTCTTTTCCTCCTCCTGCCTCACTGTTTTGATGACGTAGCCCACTTCCGCCCACGTGTCTATATTACTATTTAATACAGTGACCTATTTTTTTTTTTACATTTCCCCTGTCAAATACACAAACTTTTAAGTTACTTACAACAATGAATATTTGCAACTGTCCTTAATAATGACTGTAAAGCGACTTAATAGGCTCATTTAAAAAAATCTTTTAATGAATTTTTATTCTTACTTTCAATGTCAAATGTTAGCTTTTCGTAATATCCCCACACTACCCTAACATTAACGAAATATCACATTTCTTTACTAATGCTTTACGTCAAGGTGTTTCTTCAATTACCACAACTCAACCAATCAGAGGGTTCGATGACTGAAACCGGTGGCGTCATTTATTTAAACAGGAAGTCATGCATATGTGGCGCGAAATTCAAGCGTTTTGGCGTGGATGGTCATTTGTTTGTAAGTATACGTGATAAACACACGTTATTAGGGGTATAAGCAATATGAGAAACATCTTTCGAGCTTAATGTTTTTGCTGGCAATAATAAAACAACTGGGCGGGGAACTAATTAATTTGACTTTTAGTGGGCTGCTTATAGTAACCCTTTATCCTACACTAGGCCTCTGGCTTTAGAGGTGTGGGGGTGTAACTGTAAACTTGTTACCTCTATGAACAAGCAGGCTTCACATTTTGTGCATAACATCGGTCCAGATTTTAGCACAGCACTGTTGTGCTCTCAGGTGTAAAAGGATATGGCATTATAAAAGAAGCCATTCCCCAAACTCAGGCCCCAAGCATGGCTACTTTATTTGATGGAATCAGCCAGCAGCTAGATTTTTCTAGCTGTGGAGAAGAGAGCAGCAGCAGCAGCAGCAGCGGTGACAACTCTGATGACAGCACCTCCAGAGTCTACAGTCCCACCTCTGCCTGCAGGACCCCCGGAGCGCAACGTCACTTCAGTAGAAGCAACTCTTTATGTTCCCCTCAGCACTGTACCAGCCCCATACCTTACGCCTCCTGGAGGAAGCTGAGACTGTGTGACTCTCCCAGCACACCCAAGGTGGGGAAGAATATAGAGTAAAGATGCTTCTGTTCCCCGTCTGTGTGCTTGAATGATGTTTGTTTTTTCTTTGTCTTTCTCTCTTTCTATAGAGTTTGCTATCAAAGGCCTCCCAGCCTTACTCCAGTCTTAAGATAAGTCGTCAACAGCGAACTCTGCGTTTTGCATCAGCTGCCGCAAACCTAATCACAGCACCTCTCGTCAACGTGAATCCTTTCACCCCAGACCCGGTGCGCAGGAACAGCGAGCAACCGTGGAGGAACAGTTGTAGAAGTGACGATGATGATGACTTTGGCCGCAGGTATGCGATTCCACCTTATTACATGCCGGCTGTCACAATAAGAATCTCCAACTGATGACAAAAATGCTTTCAGGATTCAAATTGAACTAGTTTTGGTCTAAACTTAGAGACGTGTCCTGATACACAGGCCGGACTTTTGTAGTTCTGTATATAAAGGGCTAAATGCCCTTTCTGTATTCCAGGTTTAAACACAGCCTAACATCATCTGAAGAGGATGATGACGCCTTTCTCCCACCAAAGGTACAAAGCTATTTTTACCAGTACTTGTGTTGAATGTAGCCCTCCCCTTTCAGATGCTTCTGATATGATTTCATCATCGGGCTTTGTCATCTTCAGCTGCCTCCTCACTTTGTGTTTTGTCCAAAAATGACATCCTGCCAGCCCTACTTCCGGAATTTCTACAAGGAATCTCTAGCAGAAAGAAAACTGCTGTCAGAATCCTCACAAAGTGATTTCCTTGTGGACTTATTACCATATTTGGTGAATCATCACAGAAGAAACCCCAGTTCTCCTCTCATGCGGAGTGACGTGTGCTCTTTCTTTAGAAATCTTTCCTTCTTACCATGTCTGTTTAATCTGGCAGAGACGAGCTGTCCAAGCCTTTATGCTGTCACGCTATGAGAGCGAATTCCTGGAGCTAGAGTGCATTGGTGTGGGTGAGTTTGGTGCAGTTTATAAGTGTGTGAAGAGGCTGGATGGTTGCTTGTACGCCATCAAGCGCTCCAGACGACCCCTGGCAGGCTCTGCCAATGAGTGAGTCAGCACCGTTTCTGTTTGGCTAACACACATCAGCCCTCCCTATCGTTTAAACACCTTCACTGATAAGATTTTTTTTTTTGTTCTTTTATTAGGCAGCTGGCCCTAAAGGAAGTGTATGCACATGCTGTGCTTGGGCACCACCCACATGTTGTCCGATATTACTCAGCATGGGCTGAGGATGATCACATGATTATTCAGAATGAATACTGTGACGGTAGGTTTCAAATCGGCATCTAAAGTAGAATATAAAATGAAGGACGGCGTTGATTTTTGTCTTCCCGTGTGTGTCCCTCAGGTGGAAGTCTTAATGGCGCTATTGTAAAGAGGGAGGCAAAGGGAGAGCTGTTCACAGAGGCAGAGTTGAAAGATCTGCTTCTGCAAGTGTCTGTGGGTCTAAAATACATCCACGGCTCAGGCCTCGTTCACTTGGACATCAAACCAAGTGCGTCTGTTTGACCACTTCTCCCTTTGGACGTTCATTCACTGCCTCGTTCCTAACAGTTTTTTCTTTTTAGGTAATATATTCATTTGCCACCGCCCCAGCGCAATTGTGACGGGTGAGAGTGAAGAGGAAGAAGATGGAAACCCTTCAACCAGAATCATTTACAAAATCGGTATTGATGTTGAATAAAGTGCTACCTTTTTGACCGATTTATTTTTGTTACTGTCGGCTGACTTTGAGTTTTCTGCAGGTGATCTGGGTCACGTGACATCAGCCACCAGTCCTCAAGTTGAGGAGGGGGACAGCCGCTTTCTGGCCAGTGAAGTCCTGCATGAGGTAACTGTTCTGAATGCTCATTCGCATTAGAGGAAAACTGGCTAGTTGCACTTTCCTGTTTTGTGGTAATTTCACATTTCAGTTGTCTCACTGCTCCCCAGGATTACAGTCACCTCCCCAAGGCGGACATATTTGCCCTGGGCCTCACGGTGCTGCTGGCTGCCGGGGCTTCTCCTCTGCCGCTAAATGGAGATCAGTGGCACAGTCTTAGAGAGGGGCGTCTCCCCAAGCTGCCACAGGAGCTCTCGCCTCCCTTTAGATGTTTACTTCAGGTAATTCTGTAACCTTGTTGTTTTAAAAATATTTCATTTAATGCTATTTAAACACTAATTCTTAGTTGCCACCTGTCTAAATATCATTTTTACTTGTTATAGCTGGAATAGCTTATCTTTAGCACTTTTTCTCTGTCAGTTGTTGCTGGAACCAGACCCAACAAGGCGGCCATCTGCTAGGGAGCTTTGCAAGCACACAGTCTTGAGGGAGAAGAGGACTGAGAGGCTGGCTGCTCAGCTGCGAAGAGAGTTGACTGTAGAGAGGTTCAGGACCGCCATGCTTGAGAAGTAAGAAGAAAACTGAAAATAATTTAAGCTGCAGTCCCCAGTTCGAAGGTTTCAGACCCAAGTCGCACTTGAAGTATTGCAGTAATTAATGGAGATGATGGGAGACTTTCAGAGTACTTATAAATCACTTATAATAAATAAATGCATTGTTAAGGAAGTGAAATCCCCAAGAGAAGTTATAGGCCCAAGTGTTGCTTCTGAAGCGGTGACAATGCAAAAAAATGCACGAATCGTACCAGCAGGTGGTGCTGTTTCATCTCAGCAATGCTGTAGTAGTTGCCTGTGACAGCCTGTAGTAACCTCTCATTCCTATGTTCATATTTAACAGGCTGGTTTTGGTATCTTAATGACTAATTATAGTCGAAAACACTTTCATTTCCCCTTTCAGAGAACTCCAGGAGGCCCGTCAGGCAGCTTTGTCACCCAAGCAGAACCACCTACAGGGGCACAGACCACCTGTCAAGATGGGCTCCCTCCCCAAACCAGGGAGGAGGCTTGTTGGTAGAAAGACTGCAAGATCCATGAGCTTTGATTGCCCAGGTTATGAAGTCTGAGATGACGTGAAGCCTAATTTTCTGTTTTTTGCTGTGGTGTTTACTGTGACACTCTGCCAAGAAGTTGTGGTAAAGAATGCAGCAGAAGGCAATGTAGCGTGACTCCAGCAGCAACCGTAACAGAGACGATCGCTACATAATCTTATTTTACGTTGTGACTCAGACTTAAAGCATCGGGCAGAACTGTTTTAATTATATTCTTGACTCAAACATGTTCCAGGTGATAATTTTAACATCTCATAACAAGTGAAGACCAGTATGCTTAACAAGTCAGGCACTTGGTTGTTTTTTTCTTTTTCTTTTAAAACCTGTAAATAAACATTTTAAGCATCTTATCAGCATTTTATTTTGTGTTTTGAGTAGACTGTTTTATTTTGTTTTCCTGTGTCTCTGTGGTGACCTTTGTAATCCAGAAGATGAACAGGGACTTTCCAGTGTAGTGTTGCTCTTATCTATAACTACAGCCAACTGTATTTTGGGCTTGAAAAGCATGAGCCACCATACTGTGAAAGTTATTTGAAAGGCTCTGTTTGTCATAATCTTGAATACCAACTGGAGTATAGGCTTCCCCAAGACAGATCCAATTAGATTTATTTACCTCCCCCCACACACACACACACTTTCCCTTTTTTTTTCTTTTTTACGAGGCCACATTAGCACTGCCACTGATTCTTAACACAATACTTGCATAACTGCATAAATTCTAATAATAGTATAATATATAAATATTTTCCTGTCACAATTTCTAGAGGCATTAAATGGCAAATATGTTATTTAAATAGTCAAAGTAGGTGGATAAGTCAAATGGGACTTACAATATTCGCTTTCTTAAGCTTGTGAAAACATGTCCAGAAGAAATATAGCTGTGGGACTATTTTAATGTAACATATTCAGTCAAAAATGACCATGATTAAACGTATATGCGTTTTTGACGCCTTCCGGGTAGTTTGGAGTCAACACTGTGTATGCCAGTCAAAAGATACATAAGCAGGCAAAATTCAGACGGTATTTAAAGGCGTCATGACGCAGTAGCGGAAACTGTTTTAAAGACTGAAGCTAGTTGGCAGTCTGCCGCATACATAAGTTTTCACTTCACGCAAATAAATTAACGTAGGTGACGTAAAAGCGTGTAAGCGAAACGAATCGATATTTGATGTCATTTTGGTGTTAGGTATACTTTAGCTGCCTGTTATACTTTTAGTTTGTTCGACGTTAAACAACTTTGACGAGCCGAGCCCAAGGTAAGCTAACGTTAGCATTAGCTTAAACTATTTTTTTTCTTTATCCACTTGAAATCCAGTTATTAAAATACAAAATTCCTAAACTTCCTCTGTTTTGACTGACATCCCTTAAATATCGGTTGGGAACTGACTTTTTCCTCTCTCTCAGCGACTGTCAGAAACAAATTTCGATGTAATGTTAAAGTGTCCGGTTGTGGCATCTTCACTGCTATTATATTATTTAATATCGTTATTTTTATCTAAGGGCTCAGGCTGGTTGTAGATGGACCTCTCGACTACTCGGGTTACGGCGAGTGAGCTCATTTTCGCCTTCCTTCAAGAGGGCCATGAAAGCGCAAGCTACATGAAGGAGCTTCACTCGCTAGGCGAACAGTACAAGTTTTCTTGGGACATCAACAGCAACGGGCACGACGCACGTAACCTGGATAATGGAGAGCTTGAAACTGATGGTTATCATCCAAGCAACATCGGAGTCTCTATGCAGGATCTTCACCCCATAGTGGATCTACAGATCCGGGGTAAGTAAAGTAAAACGATGTAAACTGTACTGTCTACAGTCAAGTTTGGTGCCACAGTCATCAGCTGTTTATTTATTTATTTTTAATCAACAATGAGCTGTGTGTGGCAGTTTTTGAGACAGTGTAATAAAATAAATGTTTTATAAACATGTCGAGTTAAGAGACCTGATCAAATATATAGTTTGACCCAGATGTTTGCAAATAGTGCCATATTTTCTAAAAGTTATGCCACTAAATCACAATTGACTGAGTTGTTTCCAGTTAATAACAAAACAACTGAAAGTGAAACCAGGAAATGACCCTGACTCTGTTGTTTATGCTACAGAGCTGAAGTTAATTAGCAGTAGTCCAGAATGTTAAAATTGTCTTAATGGAAACTATAGAAACACGACTTCAGCCATAAATGTTAAACTTTACTCTGACTAATGCAATTGTATTTTTTTTGCTGCAGGAAATCATGAACAGGCTGCAGCTGTTCTTGAGGTTGCACGAGCATTGGGAGAAATCGCTGCTCAGTTTGAAGACAGAATTGTTACTGAAGCTACCAGGAACCTGAGCAACAACATATCAACCTCCCCTCTTCAAGTGAGTATGGGTTCAGCTAGGACTACTCAGTGCACAAACTAGGTGTAAACGAGAGCTAGTTTTAAATATGCCAGTGAAAAACTAATGTGGATATATTGAGATTACCCTAGTGATGCCACACCAGGTTGGTTTTATTTTGAGCCAAAGTGTATGGACTGATCTATTTGTTTCTGCTTTCCAGAACTGGAAGGATTACCTTGCCTTTGAGGTAGAGAGGGTGATGATGCGTTGGGTAGGTCCTGACCTACCCTGGGAGAGAGTCATCATAGCCCTTGCACTTACACTGGTGAAGAGGGTGTGTGTGCAGACCCCACAGAGGTTGAGAAACCTTTTCCACACCGCCCTGCAGTACATCAACACTGCATGGGCTCTGTGACCGAAGAAAAGCTGTCTCTAAGGAAATGACAGTTACATCTGAAACTGCAGTTTGCATCTCATGATTAGCCAACTGTGAAAGGAGTTTGTTGATGTGCCAGTGCCGAACACTTCTGAAGATCAAAATGAAAGCGTTAAACATGACACTTGAATTTCATTATTCCTTTTGTTTACTATTGCTTAAGTGTTATTTGTCTTTATTACTTAAAATGTTTACTTTATGTTGCTTATAAGTAGCATGATTAAAGTTTTTTTCCTTCAGTTTAATTTCATTGTATATACACAAAAACAATAAATCACAGCTGAAGTAGTTTAATCTCTTTATTGTTTTTTGCTTCAAACAATGTTCTGTAGGAAACTCGAGGTACAAAATGCCATGTTGGGTATTGTTTTTGACATCCATCCTGCTCTGGACTTGTAAAGTTTCCCTTTGAAAGTAGATGTTACACTCATCAACTTAAACTACATTTGCAGTACTGAAGGTGACATGAACATTCATACAAATTCCTATAATATCTTTAAACTCAAATGATTTTGCGTGATAGCAGCAGTGAGGGTGTGTTAAGGACCAGGCTAACAGATTACATGAGTTCCTCATAAATTTCCCAGCTGTTTTCCCTCTGAGGGAATCAAAGGGAGATTCCACACTATTTGTTTCCACTTCCTGTTCAGTATATTATTTTGGTTTCTTGTGCTCTGCTGGTTTACTAGAATGTTCAGTGATTTCTTTAATGTAGTGTGAACGCAAAATCCAAAATTACAGCTACGTAAGAGGTTGAGTTTATTGTTTGTTCTGAAGACTTTCCTACAAATCATATTTGAAATGGTTCCAAGTGGTTTTGATTGTCTTTTGGCAACCTGATTTTGCTTTCAATAACTCTCAGCATGCTACTGCTTTTCTTTCTACTTGGGGAGGGAAGTATTATGTTGTCACTGGGGCAGACACTTACAAATGAACCTCTGTGGAACTAGTCTGGTATTATGAGCAGTGCCGCAATAAGGGAAAAGGGGACAAGGCAAAGTACAGAGGACCAAATAAAGATGCTGGGGCGCAAAAGCACGAAAGCAAAGTAACTGAAATGAGGGTGAGAGTAACTGGGATAGGTGGGAATAGAGATCCAGTCAAATTCAACCCTAAAAAAATGTCAAATAAATAAACTAGATTGATTCAATGTGCTGCATTCATGCCCTACTTTTCTGGAGTAATTATAGCTCACTTTTCACTGAAAGTAATCGGTGGTTCTTGTTTGGCTAATGCAACCAAATATAGTAGATTTAAAAAAAAACAAAAAAAACATCTGGTTTCTGAAACAATATGCATCAAGATTTTTTTAAATGTTTTAAAACCACACTATATTTAAATTTATGTACTGATATCACAAATTTATTGTGCAATATGGACACGTTAGATTCATTTTTGGTTTCAATCGAAAATATCAAAAATACCATTCACTTCTATAGAAGTCTGTTTATGAAAGTATCAGATTTACTCACAGGGAGAAAAATATAAATAACCCTTTGTTGCGTAGGAGGCGGAAGAGCAAGAAACCCATATGTCGCACAACATCACAACTTATACTTGAGGTTTATGTTTCCTGTGAGAGCACTGTCAATTTTCAATCCAGGGTCGCTGACTCCAATGAAAGAAACAATGCAAATAGCAAACCAAGAGACACGACAGAAGCTGAATCTAAGCGAAGAGGGATAAAAGTTCACACACGCTTTTGTACTCAGTAATAAGTACAAAAGATTGGAGGCAAAAAGAAATTGGAAACAAAATTGCAACTGACCCCCAAAAGAAAAACAGAGAAAATAAGAAGTAGAGTGGAGTGCACCGTTTTCACATTTCTGTGTTTGCACCTGGTTGAAAGAAGCAGCGAGGGACTCCCAGCACTAAGGTTGTGGATGACAAGACATTCTGGTTTTCTGGGGGACACTTTCACACATTTTATACCTGGAAGATTTTTAAAAACTACTTTTAAGGAGAGTCTCACCGTATGTATGCAAATACCTTTATTCTACCTTAGCATTCTACACTCCCCGCTGCTGAGGATAACACTTTTTTACGCTATTTCCTCTGAAAGCGTATGAGAACAAAGGCTATAACAGCTGCAAGGACTGCCAGAGCAGCCCCTCCATAAAGCAACACTGGGAGCTCTGATTCTGGCTCCGGCTGCACTGGGGCCTCCTCAGCTGGTGCTTTGACAGGGGCCTCCACAGCCTCTGGAACTGGAGGTGCAGCGACCGTATCGTCTAGCTCTGCCACAGTCTCTGGTTCTGGCTGCGATTCCTTTGGCTGGTGAAACACAGTGATGGACTCTGGGTTCAGCTCTGGTTCGGACGCTAGTTCTAATGTGTAATCAGGCTCTGCTGGTGTTGTCGGGATTTCCTTGGCTGGAGATGGGACTGCCATTTCAGCAGGCACTGGATCGGTCACTGGGGCAGTGACAGCAGCTGGTTCTGGCTCAGGCTCTGGTTCCACTGCAGGAACAGACAAAGGTACTGCAGGTTCAGCTTCAGTGGGAAGGGCTTCAGCAGGTTCAGAGGCAGAGGGAAGCAGCTCTGGTTCTGAGGAAATGAATGAAGGTTCTGCAGACAAGCTTGCAGGTGTTTCTATCACAACTGGCTCTTCTAATGAAATCAGGGAAGCTGGAGGTGTGGGGTCTGCCTCAGCTGTCACTGGTGCAGGTGCGGTCTGGACTCTTAATTCCTCCCTGAGCTCAGCTAGCTCACTGTCAGTGCCTAAAACACTCATCATGCTTTCTTCTATCACTCCGCCTTCACTGCCTTCCTCCAACAGCTCGGCTTCCTCGCGCTCCACATGGACGATGTCCGAGTTTGAGGAGTTGTTTTCACTACGCTCCTCGACCAGAGCAACACCCTCGTTGCTGTCCAGGCTCTTGATGTCTTCAGGGTCCATCGCACCAACCTGTGCCCACGACTCGTGGCCAGCCAGAGACACAGGTAAGCTTTCTGTCTGCCAGGAGCTCTGCTCGCTGCTGTTGTCTCCGGTGCACAGCAGTGACGAGGGAGGGCTGATCTGGTCGTGATCCTGGTCTCCTGAGAGGATGTAAATGTCGTTGCTGTCTTCGGCAATAGTCACACCTCGCTCTTCATCCAACACGAGGCTGAATACTTCACCCTGTGGCACACAGAAACAAACGTGACACTTACATTCAATTCATTAGTTGAATTTGTTACAATCTCTGTGTTTTGTTAAAGTTTAGTCTCTGGTTGCAACATCAGAGGCCACCTTCTCCCAAGAAAACCAGCTTAAGAAATGTGAAATAAAAGAAATAAAACAACAATTTTAGCAACATGTAAAAGTTTCTCAGTAGTCATAAAATTATAACCAAGAATAAGTTATAAGGTTACATAATAGGAATTCAGAATAGGACTGCTATATGGGGGGGGGGCTTTTGCAGACTAAATCCACACTTGTTTTATCTTCTACGCCACCTAGTGGTAAACAACAGAGGAAGGAAGCATCTGTAAGCTGAGGTCTTGATATGTAACATGCAAATATAACCATGTGAGTGAGAATAACACAGGGCTGAGTTTGCTGGAAGAAAATCCATTTAAATAAGTTTCATAAATCAATATATCGAAGCTTAATATATTAAAGTAAGTTTTGTCATGCAAACATTTAGCAAAGAAAAAAATTTTTTTTTTAAAATATGAATGCACATCACTGCACTGACCATGCAGTGATGTGACGCTTAACTTACAATTTGTGGTTCAAAATAGGCAACTGACCAAGACAAGCAGTGAAATCAAACATCACAACAGTCCTGTAGCTCCAAGGCGTCAACTTTGGACTTTGCACATTAACATTTCTCTATCACAACAAAAATCACTCCCCATTGGATCTGTTGCAATAATATAAAACAGAACTTGCTACAGAAAATCGTGATTGCTACGGCTCCAACTCCAGTTTATGCAAGAGGAACATATATGCCAATACTATACTTTGTTAGTATTCATAAATGAAATCCAACCTCATGGCAACACAAGAGGGAAATCTAAGGAAATCACTAGAGTCAGTAGGACCGATCCTCTGGGAGTCATTTATTTCTAAAGCTTTTGGCAATCCAACCAACACAAGATGAAAAGATTTAGCTTAGAAAGTAATAGGCTGACTAACCAAAAGAGCAACATACAAACCACCTTGTTGCACAGCATGCCGAGCAGGTAGATCTTGCAAATGATGCGTGCAAAAAAAATAAATAAACACATAATGTGAAACGAAAAGTCTGGATGTTGGCTAAAACAATTAGAGATACTAAACTGTGCTTGACTGAGGAAGTTAAGCTTGTATCTGACATGGCCAGGCTTTTCTGCTGTGTTGCATGTCACATAGGTGTGACCTGAGCTAATGAGATTCAAACAGACAGTTCAGGCACGCAGTGTTAGTCAAACAGGGAGGGTGAGTGTTTGTGTGAGCATCAGATAGAGGGGTTCAGACAGCCGCCAGCAGCTTCATCTGAAATAAGCAGAATATGTCAGCATGTTCTTCATGGTGCCCCTGACCAAACAGTTGGATCTGATCAACTCACACGTCAACGTCTGAACATGTATTTAAACATGTTTTGTTTTTTTAGAAAACCTACAAGCCGTGAAGGTCATTTTCCTTACAAAGAGACTCAGTGCTGTGCGCGGCAGCTGCATCCTGGGAAGCAGGACAGAGATTAAATCCAACAGCGTTTCATCGTTATCCAACATTTGCTTTCTGCATAAGCTGATTTGAATGTAGAAGAGCAGGAGTGTTTCACAAAATCCTCCCCTCTCAGGACACAGCCTGCACATCAGCTCGACACAGCAGGTTAATGTTGCCGTGTGGTAAAAAAATAAAAAATCCACAGCCAAAGAGACACTGGTATTCTTTAAAATTCTATTTAGTTTATGGTTTGTGTTTTCAGCAATAGCTATGACTGCACTGGAGACCACACCTATGAACTATAGTAATACAAAGACTATTACTGACCAACTATATGACCACATATTTTAAAGTTAGAGTACCAGTAATAAAGCTTGAATATAAAGCTTATAAAGTTTAGGATTAAACTAAGAAACACGATGAAAAACTTACATACAAACATACCTGAGAAGACATGCAAACTAAACTTTCTTCAATGCTTCAGGTTGTCCCTCAGAAACGCAGAGAGTGGGAAAACTCTAGGCTTTGTTGCTCTGTTCTCAGGCTCAGTTCTCCACCCTTGCCCTAAGACAAACTATATAAAACCACTGCACATTCTTGTTGCAGAGCCAAAGGTGTACAGCCTACCTGTTACTACTCTGCTTTTTAACTGGCTCTCTGCAACCCAAGGTTAAATAACATTGTAATTAAACACTGAAGCAGAAAGCTATCACTGAGGGTAAGAGTAAGAGTAACATAGCCACTGCCCTGGTGACTCATTTCTGCTGATAAATCAACATTAGTTACACTGGCATGGCCGTCGCATACAGTCAAAATCCTACAAATGCTGCAAATCCAAACATCAGATCTGACAGAGTTGTCACAAAAAGCAAACGCTCCACATCAACAAGTGAATTACTAATATTCAGTTTGGGGATTAGTCAGTGTAACGGTCACTGGTTAGTATGCACCCTTGGCATTTATATGAGCATTATGTAATCACTGGTCCTGCAAGGGGTCACAGAGCTGATCGAGCTGAATAAAACAAAGTGCTGAGAAAGACAAGAAAAACCAGGAGCCAGCTTTAAAAAGGAAAACCTAAAGTTGAAATGTGTGACAACATTTACCAACGTCAGGGGCCATCGTTCATCTGCTATGTAACACCAGTTCTTTGCTGGGGATAAGATTTTAACACAGCACGGTTATTTATTTATTGTTTTACATTAAAGACTTCTTTGTTTTCACAAATGGGAAATAATTAACAGCAACAAAATAAGCAAACAGACACAAATTTCACCACAGGTCCCCACATCCCTATTTTTAAACTAACTTATCCCTCAGAACTGCTGTGGAGGCTTCTTTCACATCGTTTCAGGCGACGCTTCCCTTTTCACAGAAGGAATGTTCATCACCATGAACGCATCCTCGCTTTTGGCCAACAACACACTATTTATCAGCTTCTCTTCTGCAACATCTTTATTACTGACAGAAAAACAGACACATTGCTATTATTTTACATTGTGTAATCCAGTTTTAGCATTTCACATTACCCTGGCTTTCATTAGCACACTTCATCCCCACCCCATAAATAATCCCTACAGATGCAGCATTGTGAAACTGACCACCACATGCAGGGTGTGACATGCTTGACTGTCTGAGATTTGAAAGTGTTTATGGAATCGCACGTCTCCACACCACTTCTGGGGAAGCACCTTTTAAAAATAAAATAAAAATCTTATTGCAACAGAGTGTCTTGTTGTGTGCAGCTACACAATCTGCAATCAGTAAATATTGGGTTTTAGCCAAACATCGCTGACAGTGTTAGTGTTGTGGGTAGCTGGGGGAGCAGAAAAAAAATGAATGTCTGTCCTGCTTCATCACTGCCAATCAGCCAGTGTCCTGCTGCTTCAGCAGCTTTTTACAGCAAAGGACAAGCGGGTCAGTCAAGCACCTGGTGATGATGTTTTTAGGGGATTATTAGTTATTTTGAGGGCTTCCTCAGCCTGCGCAGACGCTCTGTTGGTCCACATTCATGCTGATGCAGTGTCACAGTGATGCACATATTAAAGCCCAGAGCAGGCCAGAGGATGCTTACATAACACGGGAAGCACAGTTACACTGCACAGGGTGTAGCGTGATATGGCCTGACAGGACAAAGACTCGGGCCTTTAAAGCACCTCAGCCTTAAAATATCATCATTGTTTCTAAGCAGGGCAGCTTGTTCCAGTATACAAAACAGAGGACTATATATTTCTTTACTGCCTTTAAAGATATGGTGTTTTGAATATCAAATATGCAGCAATAAAGTAATGTATGTCTTTAATATCTTTTTCTCCGAGTGTAGAGGTGCAATTATCTGTTTGGCACCTTCAAGTTTTGGGCTTCATGTTCCATTATACTCTCAAGGACGGCAATATGAATACTGAACACTCAGTTCTTATGCAGCATTTTTACTTTCAGATGGACAGCAGGACACCAACATCATGCGAGCACAACGACGACAAGCTTCAACATCTCCTCAAGGTTTTTTTGTTTTTATCACCTCACCCATCGTCCCCCCGTGTGCTCCCCTGACTGTCTATTGTCTGACAGCTACTTTTGTCCTTGCCAAATGAAGTGTACGCCACATTAGGGCCATACAAATCCTTTGTGTATTCTGATGTAACTAACAAAGCCATTAATCGAGCAGCCCATACGTAACTTGCATTTCAGTGTCCTAAAGAGAACTCGGCAGACACAACAGAAACTTTTTCCAATATCCTGTAAAGTACAAAAACAACAAAGACCCTTTTTGTTGATTAATATACAACTTTGATAGATGCAATAAAAAAAACTTCATTTACTCTCCTCCTTGTTGTGGAAATTTACATCTCACGGCCTCATATGTCAAATGTTAACAACAGTAAGCAGAGTACTGGTAGGAAGTAAAGACCTTTTTAGCTTCTTAAAATCTGTCACTGCTGCACACAGCCACACATGCACGCATGCAGACAAGCACGCATCACAAGTAAACCATCTTACCTGAGCGTGAAAGTTGTGAAATGTAAGTGTGAACGCACAAAGCCCCAGAGAGTCAAAAAAGACGGTTTGAGATGGAGTGCAGGTAGAAAGCCAGCTGGAGCTGTGCATGCAGACAGCTGTCAAACTAATGGAGATTTCACTTTGCCCTGACTGCGCTCATCCCTCCCTCCTTCGTGCCCTCTCCTTTCCACAGCCTCTTCGTGCACTCCCTCTCTCTTTTCAGTTCATCACTCCATTGCCGATCGTGCCCGAGCCTATCATCCGTTCATCAACTATGACATAACACAGAGCAAGAATGTAGCTTTGTTTGAAGCCAGCGTACTGTGTTCACATAACGCTGTGTGAGACCAGCCAGAGCACGACAATGATGTAATGGCGACCAGAGCAGCAGTTAACATGTCAAGTCACGTGAACGTTCGTCAACGTGGCCTCGTTAATAGCAGAGCACCGCACAGACTCCCTAAGTACAACGGCGAAGGGCTGCATTCTGGCAAATACTATCTCTGCAAAAATGTAAACCTAGAAACAAAGTTGCACAAGTTGCTTATCTATGATAATAAGAAGCCATGGAGAGAGTGAGCCTGCAGCCAAGCATCGTGACTTAGATGTGGAAGGACAACTTGCACGGCTAAAGGAGTATTTGCTAGACTTTCATTCATCAACAGCGACAGTTTACATGAACAGGGTTTATATTTAATATGAAAACACTCCACAGAACAGAAGTACTGTCCTATTTTTGCCTGACAATTTTCAGAGTTTATGGTTATTGGCCCAAAGAAACGTAGCAGTAAATACACTGTATACATAACAGTGTGGTTATTTATATAGAAGCAGAGAATTTATAGCCATGGGTATTATGATGCTCATTTTAATCTAGCAAACCAATGCATTTCTTGTAGCTCACTGATGCCCTCATCTGGCTATCAAGAGGTGTGTACATCTTTCTAGGCTGGTGCAATAAAGTTTTCCACTACGCAGCATCTTTTCTTCCTGTTTTATGTACGCATGCTCTGCACAGTCCTAATAATATTTACTCCTTAATAAAACTTAAGTCTCAGTAGGCTCTGTCCTTGATTATTCTAAAATTAGTCACCACACCTGCAATCTAAGATAGTTTTTAAGTATTTCTAAACTGGGAATATAGTTTTCTTAGTTTTTACTGGGGTAGCTCAGGTGGCAGAGCAGGTCAGCCACTAACCAGAAGGTTGGTGGTTCGATCCCAAATATCTTTGGGCAAGATACTAACCCCATGTTTGCCTACTGGTGGTGGTCAGAGGGCCCGGTGGCGCCTGTGTCCGGCAGCTTCGCCTCTGTCAGTGCGCCCCAGGGCAGCCGTGGCTACAATGTAGCTGCCATCACCAGTGTGTGAATGACTGAATGTAGTGTAAAGCGCTTTGGGGTCCTATACAAATGCAGGCCATCTTAAAATTGTATTAGATTGTTAGATTGGACTTTCAGGTAATTAGACTTATTTATAATGTATTTTCCCCTTTATTTAAAAACTCACCCATCCCCCAAGCTGAGTGATGTAGTCTGCCTCGTTCTCCTCTAGGAAGTGAAGCCCCAGGTCCAACAGAGTCATCACAGACTGGCCTTCACTTTGTAGAGCCTGGAGCAGCACTAACGGAACAAGCACCTGGTGGCAGTGGTGACGAGAGACAGAAAGCAGTTCATTCACAAGGATAAGAGACATAAATCTGACACCTCTCTCTTGTTACTAGGAGAAAATCTAACTGGAAACATTGCACCTTTTGCAAATTATGTCTCACTTCTAATCAGTGAAGCAGAACTCACGGCTCACTCACCTTGCTCCAGCCTCCCGGTGTGTGTGTTGAGAGCTCCAGTGTTGTGCATCTGAATCTCTGATAGTCCAGAGGTCTGAAAACACAGACATTACCATTAGTATTAAACACGTGATCTTCATGTTGAGGAGGTTAAAGGTTTTGTACTTTACCTACCACATGTAACTGTTTACCAGGACTACTTTTACCTTAGGTAAATTGATTACAACAACTGAGGAAGTAGCAGCAACACCAGTTATCAACCTAGATCACATTTTAGCACCAAATAACTATTATTATCTTATAGATATTTAATCTTCTTTGCTACAATTTCATGTCATTATCTTTACTTATAGCCAGCTCCTGTAAGAACAAGGTGCTAATGCCTCTGCTGTCTGCGTGGGGAGGGGCTACACTGATTCATCATTAAAATAGCAGAAGAGTTTTTATTTCCGTTTTCTACTACAGGCAACCTCACAGGGGGAACAACAAGACAAACTATGGCGAAGACCACACAAACCTAACACGATAGAGTTTAAGCTGTTATTTAAAACATGAAGCATTACCATCTCAGATTAAAAACTAAATTACAACACTGCACAAAACTAAACTAGCTCTACCCTGGGGCAAGAGTAGAACAATGAGCTAATGTTAGGTCAAAAGTATGTTGGTTGTTTTACTTATGATGGCAGTTTAATGAATGTGCACTTGGATCAGCAGTCTTTATCAGTCAGCCACTGAACTCTACGACCTGAGCAGCTCGTAATTTTTTTATTTTCCTCGATAAAAGTTCTCTCATGAATCATTTCAGTAGGATTCATGAGATGTGCAGTGTTTTGGTTTCACTTTTATCATCAGTATACAGGCTAACCCTGGGAACATAAAAGCTCGTAGACATTTCCAGCATATCTGAGTTGATACTGAACGCTGTATGTGCTCCAGTGGCTTCAGGATTTTATGGTTTACTAGTTTAGGAAAGTACAGAAGTAACAATGTAATGCAAGTCAAAACCAAAAGATCTAAAAGAAAACTGTGTCCGTATGACACTGTTTTGTGTCCACTTAGTTCACACTACCTTTACTCTAAAAAAACCCCAAACATTCAGAATTAAAAGGACTGTCAATAAATGTTAAAGTTCAAAAGTGCATTACCTTGATAGCGAGCAAATACCTGCAGTGTATCAACAGTGACTGTGTCAGTCCTTCGAGATAATAACACTTTTCTCACACAGTAACAACTGCAGTAGAAACATGGCTGCTGTACTTAATGTAGATTACTGTACCTATACATCCATAATGGCAAAACGAATGGAAAAAATACTCCCTAACCTCAAACCCAGGATAACACAAGACGCACTTTACACATAATGAACTATATACAACATACAGAGCAGGCTGTGATCCTCAGTCTTGAAGCTGAAAAGGCATTTGACTCTGTTTGTTGGCCTAAGTATGTATACCTATATAGAGTCTTGCATAAATTTGGTTTTAATGAGCCGGTAATAAATAATGTAAAGGCTTTATATGATAACCCGACTGCAAGGCTTAGGATTAATGGTCACCTAACTCAACCTCTAACACTGAAGAGGGGAGTGAGACAAGGCTGTGCCTGCTCTCCTCTTGTCTTTGCCATATTTCTGGAGCCACTAGCCCAACATATAAGGCAAAACAGAAAAGTCGCAGGTGTTACACTAAATGATGTGGAACATAAAATAGCATGCTACGCCGATGATGTACTCTTATTCCCAAAAACACCCGAGGAGTCTCTGCCAGAGGTAATGAACTGTCTTAAAAACATTGGCTCAATAACAGGATATAAACTGAATTTAAATAAAACTGAAGCCCTTCCCTACAATTATAGTCCTTCTGAAAAGCTCAGACAAGCACATCCACTGAAATGGAACACAGACTCAATTAAATACCTGGGTGTAAGACAGAAATTACAACCATTTATATCAAAGAGTCAAAGAGGACCTTACAAATTGGAATCATATCCCATGTCTGAGCATAAGCTCTAGAATAGAAACCATCAAAATTAATGTTTTACTGAGATTTTTATATTTGTTTCTGACCCTCCCACTCCAGATTAATCAAATGGATTTTACTGAATGAGTCAAAACGATCTCTAGATTCATATGGCAAGGCAGACGACCCAGAATACGATACAAAACATCACAACTGCCCAAAGAGAACGGCGGCTGGGGACTACCATGTTTTAAAAAAAAACACTATACTTCAGCAATGATCAGGGCAGTGTTGCACTGGTGTGATCCATCATATGTAGCAACATGGAAAGAAATTAAATGCAAAACAATACCTAATATGTATATGCAGGCAGTTCTAGCAAACAAAAATCTACAGGACTACATTTCCAAATTAAGAAATCCTTGGGTAAAGGCCACAGTAGGGGTTTGGAAAGTGGTGGTAAAAGAAAAAAAAGCTGGAGAAGGATATAAAAATATTAAAATGGTGTGCATATGAGTCGGATATGAGCATATGAGCAAATCAAATAGACCCTAGTTTAAAAACTGGAGAGATAAAGGAATCACGTCGATATGCGGTATTGTAAAGGAAGATGAAATTATGAGTTTCCAAACTTTAAAGCAAATGTTTCATTTAGAAAACCAAGACCACGATAGATACGTACAGTTAAGAAACGTTTATACTCGAAACATTAAAAACCAAATACCCACTACAGCGAGGCCATTTACCCAACTCTTTGTAAATGCTTATAAGTCGGAAATGAAGAAAGGTGTAATCTCACAAATATACAAAAGTCTTCATGATCTCAACAATTATTCAACAAAGTATATAAAAGAAAGATGGGAGAAAGAGGGAGGTCAGACAATCACAGAAGAGGAATGGCGATACATTTGTTCTTTTCATTGGAAAAGTAGAACATCACATATATGGAAGGAGTTCTGCTGGAAAAGCTTTTTCGTTTTTTCATTACCCCAGCTTTAAAGGCGCATTATGATGATGGAAGTTGTGAATGTTGGAGGAAATGAAACAGCACACCACTACCATATGTTTTGTGATTGTAAGAATATTAAGAACTACTGGAGAGAAGTCCATAAAGTGATGCACAACATATTTAGTACATATTTACCCTTTGATTTCAAATCCAGATTTTTAGGATACAAACCCTCAGACATAAGAGAGAAATACTTACTTGGTGTGCTGCTAGCTGCAACTGACCAAAAGGTGTCTGACACAGGATCCACCAACATTAAACAGCTGGACTGATGTAACTTTTGAGATTTATAAGATTAGTGAATTTTGAGTATGAGAAATTTGTAAAACACTGGGGAAAATGGCTCCGCTATGCGAGTTCTACAAGGCCAGATATCGCTGATATTCATCACTGAAGGAATGGTTGTTTACATTTTTGTCTGTTTTTTATAATAACATGTACTAATGCTATGTCACCATCTGCTACTGAGTGTGTTGGCTTTTCAATTGCCCTCTCTGGATGTATATAGTTACAAACGGTGTCTGTCTGTACATGTTTCTTTGTTTTGGTTTTTTCCCTTTTCTTTCTCTTTTTTCATACCTGCGTGAAGGAAAAGTATTTGAAGTGATGGCGGTCATCCAGACTACTGTACATATATGAGAACAAAGGAAGCCATCAAATACTGTACATTTTATTTTATGCATAACTTCAATAAACATAGCTGTCGGAGTTGTATGCAGTCCAGAGAAGCACCAATAAACTTAAAGCAAAAAAAAAAAGCTGCTGATTTAGCTTCACTTTTGTCAAAAGGGTCTCCGTTACTTATTGACGCCAGTGTTACTATCGTGCAGGCTGCTTTTTGCAAACACACAGCCACAACTCTACAAACTCACCCTGTGAGGAGTGTGTGTACGGCTGCTGACAGGTGTGTGTCGAGCTCTTGGGCCAGCCTGTCTCCCACTGCAGCCAGGCAGTCCTCAATGGAGTTCTCCGGGTTGGCTGGAGCGAACACCAGTGAATTGTGTCGGTCGAATCCCGTCCTGGAAAAGGCTGCAAGCAACACAGGTCACAGGACAGAGTGATATCGCTGACAGAAGTGCAGCTCGTTTAAAGGAGGTAGTCAAAGAAAGGGAAGAACACGAAACATAAAGAGTGTTTGTTTTAATTAGTGCGGCACTTCTGACTAACTTTTCTTTTTATTAAACCTCTAATAATAAGCAGTCCTACATATCATTAAACAAATATGTAGGACTGCTTTCTTCCATTTGTGCAACATCTCTAAAGTTAGAAATATCCTGTCTCAGAGTGACGCTGAAAAACTAGTTCATGCATTTATTACTTCCAGGTTGGACGACTGTAATTCATTATTATCAGGAAGTCCTAAAAACTCCCTGAAAAGCCTTCAGCTAATCCAAAATGCTGCAGCAAGAGTCCTGACAGGGACTAGAAAGAGAGAGCAGATTTCTCCTGTATTGGCTTCTCTTCATTGGCTTCCTGTTGAATCCAGAATTCAAAATCCTGCTCCTCACATACAAGGTCTTAAACAATCAGGCCCCATCTCATCTTAATGACCTTGTAGTACCATATCACCCTGTTAGAGCACTTCGCTCTCGCTCTGCAGGCCTACTTGTTGTTCCTAGAGTATTTAAGAGTAGAATGGGAGGCAGAGCCTTCAGTTTTCAGGCCCCTCTTCTATGGAACCAGCTTCCAGTTTAGATTCAGGAGACAGACACTATCTCTACTTTCAAGATTAGGCTTCAAACTTTCCTTTTTGCTAAAGCATATAGTTAGGGCTGGACCAGGTGACCCTGAATCCTCCCTTAGTTATGCTGCAATAGGCAGCTGGGGATTCCCATGATGCACTGGGTGTTTCTCCTTCACTCACTATGTGTTAACAGACCTCTCTGCACTGAATCATACTTGTTATTAATCTCCGTCTCTCTTCCACAGCATGTCTTTATCCTGTCTTCCTTCTCTCACCCCAACAGCAGCAGATGGCCCCGCCCCTCCCTGAGCCTGGTTCTGTCGGAGGTTTCTTCCTGTTAAAAGGAAGTTTTTCCTTCCCACTGTCGCCAAAGTGCTGCTCATAGGGGGTCATATGATTGCTGATGACTGTATGTATGACTCCGTATATGGTCTGTATGTATTATTGTAACTGAACTAATGTCTGAGATCCTGTTAATGAGACTCATAAATCATATTTACTTAAGAATAACATTAAAGCATCTTAGACTAGTGAAACACGATGAAGCAACCACCCACGTGTGTGAGCTGTGAAAGAAAGACAAAAATCCTCATTTTTAAACCAGAGTGAGACAAAACAATCATTCACTTAAAATCAAAATCAGCTTTTCTGTGACCAACCACAGCGATCTGCAGCAATATTCATGCTTTTTGGAAAGAAACCAAAGAGCTTTAACTGTACATGTGTCATACTTGCACACTGAACTTAATTTTGATCAACTTCAATTTAAAAACTTAAGACCAGACTAGTGATGGTGTTCAGTGCTTTTGAAGGCTAATCTCTGGAACTACAGTTAGGTCCATAAATATTTGGACAGAGACAACGTTTTTTAATTTTGGTTTTTACCACAATGAATTTTAAATTAAACAACTCAGATGTAGTTAAAGTGCAGACTTTTAGCTTTAATTAAGTGGTCTGAACAAAAGGATTGCATGAGAATGTCTAAAACTAAAGCATTTTTAACTCAATCCCTTCATTTCAGGGGCTCAAAAGTAAATGGGAAAATTAAATAACTGAAAATAAAATTGTCAATTCCTAATACTTTGTTGAAAACCCTTTGCTGGCAATGACAGCCTGAAGTCTTGAATTCATGAGCATCACCAGATGCTGGGTTTCCTCCTTTTTAATCCTCTGCCAGACCTTTACTGCAGCAGCTTTCAGTCGCTGTTTGTTTTTGGGCTTTTCTGTCCAAAGTTTAGTTTCCATCAAGTGAAATGCTCAACTGGGTTAAGATCGGGTGTCCGACTTGGCCATTCATGAATATTCCCCTTCTTTGCTTTAATAAACTCCTAGGTTGCTTTGGCTGTACGTTTTGGGTCATTGTCCGTTTGTATTATCAAACGCCGCCCAGTCAGTTTGACTGCATTTAGCTGGATGTGAGCAGACAGTCTGTCTCTGAACACCTCAGAGGTCATTCAGCTCCTTCTGTCCTGTATATCACATCATCAATAAACACCAGCGTCCCAGAGCCACTGGCAGCCGTACACACCCAAGCCATCACACTCTCTCCACTATGTTTTACAGACGATGTGGATGCTTTCGATCGTGACCTGTTTCACGCCATCGCCACACTTTTTTTCTTGCCCTCATTCTGATAGAGGTTGATCTTGGTCTTTTTGTATTTCTGAGTTCACCGGTGCTTTCTTTCTTTCTCAGGATGTACCAAACTGTACATTTTGCCACTCTTAATATTGTAACAGTTTCTCAGATGTGTTTATTTTCTGTTTTCGCAGCTTAAGGATGGCTCGTTTCACCTTCCTGGAGAGCTCCTTTGACCGCATGTTGTCTGTTCACAGCAAAATCTTCCAAATACAAGCACCACACCTCAAAACAAATCCAGGCATTTTATCTGCTTTTTTGAAAACAACATAATGAAGGAATTGCCCACACCTGCCAATGAAATAGCCTTCAAGTCAATTGTCCAATTACTTTTTGTCCCTTTAAAAAGAGGCTGGCAAATGTTGAGGAGCTGAAACTCCTAAACCCTTCATCCAATTTGAGTGTAGATGCCCTCAAATGAAAGATGAAATTCTACACATTATCTCCATTATGTAACTAGTTTCAGTAAACAAATATATATGGACCTAACTGTAGCTGTGTATGTTTGTGATCACTTACAGGCGGCAATTTCGCCATCCAGTTCTCTCAGCCCTTCCTCTATTTGCTCCTTTATCACTCTGGATCTTGTTTTCTCAGCCTCTGCATCTCCTGAAAGAGATAAACAAACATGAAATAGGAACCACTGTCGCTCCATCCTTCATTCTTTCTGACTCTCTCCCATACAGTCGCCCTAGTTTTCATGCAAAACTTCCCCAAATGTCTTAAAACACGACTAAAGAAAAGCTGTTCTGGAAATTCTGAATTGCTTTGACTGCATTTTAACAGGATATTGTGGTTGGACGGTCATTTCAGTGTGTGCCAGCTGTTTTTGTTGCATTTGCATGGTCGCTTTTTAAAGCAGTCCTTCTTTCAGCGCCTCAATAATCATTTTAGGAACCATGAACATATTTCAGAAAAGGTCATTTACACTGATGTCAACAGCTATTTTGTTATTGTTTTATGCATGTGTTTAGTTTTCTTTATGTAACTATTCTAACAACTTATAATAAAGTTGGTCATGTGGCTTTTTCGAAAAGGTTCATTGTCTTTTTTTGATTCATAAGAGTTATGCACTCACTAGTTTGTGATATAATCTGATAAATTAATTAGAGGATCTGACAAAGAATGGGTTAAGTTGCTAACACAACAAATATGGGATCTGACCTTTTATTAAATCATGAAATATTTAACAGGCTAGGATCAACATCAAAGTGGAAATTGGGCCAGATCTTGACTCCACTATAAGGATGAGCGGTTGATGCCGCGCACACCAACTTTCCTGGAGGAGAGAACCACCTTTGCAGGCAGCCGCTCCTCCTCAGCCTGACGAGCTTGAATTCAAAGCAAAAAACTGTTAATGGTTCTCAGTCATCGTGTGCACGAAGGCTATCAAGGCAGAGGTCAATTATTTACAGCACCGAGTCTACACTGCTCAGGGTGTAATGAACCACGCAACACAAAGGCGCCAAGTGGGGCTGCACTGAATTTACACAAAAATACAATAAACCCTCAAAAAAATCAACTTTTACATTTGACCTCTCACCCCGGAGAGATGCAGGGATCATTTTATAATGTTCATACATGCAACCCAGAGGCACTGGTTATTTCCAGTGTGACTGGACTCCATTGGTTCAGTTTTAGTAGCTGACTTTTCTCAGTTTATGAAATCAAATACTGACATTTTTTAACAAAAAGCAAGAAGACACTCTGACAACTGGGATCTTGTTCTCTCAGGTCCCTGCATGGGTGCCATGAGGACCAGTGTTGGCTTTTCCTGGCCTTGGTGCTGTGTCAGCATTTAGACAGACAGCTAGCCAGACAACTATTTTGCTTTGGTCCACTGGTGTGTGAGTAATGCTACAGTGATTGCACATGACAGGCTGTCAGAAATTGGACCGGGTCAAGCGGAAAGCAGGGATCAGCCACTCATCTGCCATCTCCGCCCATTCCAAGCATGCACACAACAATAAAATGGACAGGAAATAAAAAGAACTCCCCCCCTCTCTCTCGTCTTCTTTTCCTTGCTCCAAATACATTTTTCAGATACCTCTGCTCCTTTACTTCCATGCATCATCCAAAGAGGCTCTCCAGCAGTCTTGTGCTCTCTTTAATCACTAAGATTTATTTCAGGATTAACGCTGTGAGGTCATAACTTGGTTTCACAAACTAAAAGAAACGAACAGCTGCTGGCATTTACCTTCACACATCCTTTCTCTAGTCTCACATAGCAGACACAGAAAATCATTACTATACTGTACATTTGTTCCACAACACCTCTTTTGGTATGCCGGGCATAAAAGGGAACAGGAAGAAAAATGTGAGCCAGCATGCCTGAAGCCATGTAACAGGGTTGTTGCAAAGACCTCTGTGAAGACACGACAGCTTTATGCACTCTGGTCACCATATTGGGTTATTGAAAGGATTCTAGCTGGGCTTTAGATGAGAATCCACTAAATCTATTGGTTTACAGACACTGGCTTCAGCTATCACGTTAAAGTGTCCATACAGGTCTTCTGAATGTGTTCTCCTGCTAAAGTCAGATTCCAGTCAGAGCCAAATTAAGCTGGCAAAACAGGTGGCTACGTGCCTACACACCCCAGATATTTTATGTTACAACCATGTGTGCATGTGAACGCCACTATTTGTGTGCTCTCTGAATGAAAGTGTGTGAGGGTTGTGTACGTGCACAGTGTGCAAAATGGGAAGAAAAAAAAACAACTGTTGCTCGTCTCATCAGCAATTTTTAATAAGAGGTTTGCCACAAATGCAAAGCATTTCCTCTCACCTTGAGCTGCAGCTGGTTGGTCTGATCTACCTGCAGGCACCATTCCTAGGTAGTTAAGCAAAATATATTTGGTTTCAAAATGGAAACCCTCAGGCACAGTGGCTGGGATTGAGGCAGAGGCGGTGGAGCCTGAGGTAGCCATCGAACAGATGTGTATCAGACTCTCAGGCACATTAATTCATACAGTCAAAGCTGGACGTCTCACCTAGGGAAAATAACAACCAGAGGAAGAATAATATCTCGTTAGAGGCACAATCGTTACAGCCTGAAGGATGGGCTGGCTGAGGCTGAGGCAGCCATTAATAAAAGCAAAGAAAATCTATATCTAAACTCTGGCATTGTATCATACAATATGTTATTTAATCTTAAAGAAAAAAGAAAAAAGAAAAAGCTGTTATATGAATGACATAAACAGATGCCGCCCTCAGGTTTACAGTGTCCTGCCCCCACTGCGTGCACTAAGGGGACAAATTGAGTGATTTTAGACTTATGTGACTGCATGGATCCCAACTGAGGACAGAAGAATGGGACAGGACATATTTGGGTACTTTTTTTGTGTCTAGATCATGATTTACACAACACATGTGGCAAACAGATGGTCGTTTTAAAAATCCCCCCAAAAACCCCAAAAACAATTTTCAAATAAAATGATCACTGCACAAATATGAAACACGACTTTAACCCCCTGTAACTTCTAAGTTAATCGCCCCACATGGTCCTCCAGAGACGAGGTGACACCAAGCGGACCAAAAATTCCATTCATGTCAAGTCTGCCAAATTAAACAAAATACTTCCGGGTTTAACTATCAAAATAAAATAATGTGTATAACCGAGTAATTAAAAAGTTCAATCATCAAATAACAAAGCGGCTACGATAATTACAGTAAATTAAATAAACACAACTATCCTCAAAAGATTTCAGTATGTCTGCAAAAAATAATCTACCAAATAACATAACCATTCGCTTTACTAACCAGACATGTAGCTTTGCTAATTAATTACCTGACTAATTACATAAGAGTCCGCTGCACCCCTCGCTGGAACACCCAAACTCACATGCAAGCTACTGTTAGCTAGCTTGACGTTACACGTTTTACGTGCTGGAGACTCAAAACTTCATTTTAACTTAAGCTCAGCGGGTGTCCGTTTCTTACCGTCCTTGTCCAAAGGCAACCAGATGTGGACAGACGACAAGCTGAACAGAATTATGAACACACACACACACACACACACACTACTGTAGCAGAAGCCGGAGAGGGTAGCCCACCAATGGCAGGTAGCCGTTAGTACTCAGGGTGCTCTGGATGTTAGCGTACAAAACCGGCACCAGTCTTCCTGTCAGAGCCTTCATAATAATACTCACCTCCGCTACCGGACACCGTTCAACCTGTGGTCACAAGAGGAAACTTACGGAATTTACAAACACGTCGTGTCTGTTATTGGTGGAGATAATCCTTGATTTTCTGTAGCTATAAGAATTTCGAGGGGAGAGCATCCAACCTTAGCACCCCGCCCTCGTTACAAATATTTAACTGGAACGCGAAATGTTATTTTGAAAGTGCAGACCGGAAGTTCTATTTTACCTCCAGTGGTCAGCTCGACCACGAAAGCCAAACCGTGTGTTCACCCCAAACTGTTTGTGCTTCAGTGGACGGTAACAGTGACGGAGACAGTTAGTTTGACAGACTCCAAAGAGACAATAAACATAACTGAGAAAAGCCATGGCGCTCACCGACGCTGACGTACAGAAACAGGTAAACTTTATGGACAAGTTAAAGCACGTCAATCCCACTGCCGTTACGGTAAACATACATAATCTCAGTTAACGGGCCGATACGTGGACTGCAGCACTGTCCCGCTGTTAATCATTATTTCGCACTATGTTTAACATTTAAGGCAACGCCGCAATTCATTTAGTTCTGGTTGTCGGTGGCAGTTTACATTATGACGGGTGCAAAGTTAAAGTTAATGCCTAAATGCTAACATTGCCATTAATGCAAGTCAAGTTGGTCTCATTGCAGTAAATAATGAAATTTGGTCACTTTCTAATGCTAAACTATCAGTTTTAGTAAAACTGTAAAAGTGTGTGCGCATGTTTTTGTATCATTCAGAAAAAAACAGACAGACACATAAAGGACGCACATTGTCAGAGATCTAAACTTGAACCAGCTGCTTTTTGTGTTTCTTATGGCAGATTAAGCACATGATGGCCTTCATTGAGCAAGAGGCCAATGAGAAAGTTGAGGAAATTGATGCAAAGGTAACGGAAGCTCTTCTGCCTGTCAGTCTTGTGTTTTGTCATAGTGACCACTGATTTAATGAATCTTCTCTTACACAGGCGGAGGAAGAGTTCAACATTGAGAAAGGTCGTCTGGTGCAGACTCAGCGGCTGAAAATCATGGAGTACTATGAGAAGAAGGAAAAGCAAATTGAGCAGCATAAGAAGATGTGAGAAAGAGTAGTCACTCAAACTGCACAAATAGGAATGCATTCATCAAAAGAAAATTTAGTTAGCCTTTGGAAATGGTACACCACAGCACGCCTTACGTTCTTGTTTTTAGCTCCGCTGTCCCATCGGTTTGACTGTTTCTGTAAGATGCTTTTTGTTGCTGTTTATCCCACACTTCAAACACTTACAGATCTGACACTCTGCAATCTCACATCTCATGAGTAAACGCTGTCTTTCTGAGGCAGTGACTGATCTTCTGATAGCTTGTTAGGCATCCATTGAACTAACCAACGAGGAAGCAGCATAAACAGATTTAATCAATTCTGGGCCAACAACTCTGAAGAAGAGAAAATGACAACTCTAAAAAGTTCAAAATAAAATCATATTTGGTTCAGGCAGAAATTTTTCTTGAAGAATATCTCTGATAAAAGGAATTAATCGGTATAATCAACGCCCCCCACAGCCAGAGATCCAACATGATGAACCAAGCCAGGCTGAAGGTGCTGAAGGCCCGAGACGACATGATCACGGTGAGCGATGAATGCTCATTTCTGTGTCCACTGGAAACCTCCTCTATTCAAATTCATCATAACTTTAATGATGAATTTGAATTTGTTTCCATGATTAGCTTTCATTCTTGCACTAAATTGTTGTGCACATATTTACACATGGAAATAATGTGTAAATGTTGTGTCCTCTACTTGACCTTCACTACTCCAGTACAGTGAAAAAGACACGTTCCAGTTAAATATTTGTAAAAACTGCTCAGATGCAAGATAAATATGATTTTGCGTACCATAATTCATGAGTCATATATCAATTTCTAATGTATCCAGTTGCCTGTTTTTGTCGCAGGATCTGTTAAACGAGGCCCGTCGGAGACTTGCAGAGATTGCTAAGGACCCTGCTAAGTACTCCAGTCTGTTGGAGGGCCTAGTGCTTCAGGTATAATCTACCATTGTGATCTATGATTGCAAACCAACTGTTAATATATTATTCAGTTTTCTATATTTAAAAAGTGAGCTTTTTTTAATGTTTCAGGGATTCTACCGACTGCTGGAGCCTAAGGTTACCATTCGCTGCCGACCGCAGGATGTTGAATTTGTTCAGGTGAAGCTGTTCTGACTAGTTATTTAGAAAAGAAGGAACAGGCCATCTGCCTCTTTTGTCGAATGCACAATAAAACATAGAGTTGTTTTCTCTCTTTATTACCAAACAGGCTGCAGTCAATAAGAACATCCCGATCTACAAAGAGGCGGTGAAGAGTAATATAACTGTCAAAATCGACAAGGAACGTTTTCTTCCAGCTCAGATGTAAGATGATTCAGTTCTTCAGAAAGAAGGAGGTCATGTGATTGTTACAGATTATCTATTTTGTATTGTCAAGATTGAGATGCAGGAATTTTTGCATTTTTAATCAAATATGACAAACACACTGTAGTCACTGCTCAGCTTTAGTTTGACTTTGGGGGTTGGAACAACTTTGTCTTTGTGGAGTAGTCTCCACAAGGTGTTGGAACATTCCTCAGACTTTTTGGTCCACGTTGACATGATGTCGTCACATAGTTGTTGCAGATCATATGATGCAAACTTCCCGTTTAACCGTATTTCAGTGGATTATAATCTAGTGACTGTCGGAGCCATTTGAGTACCGTGGACACATTCTTAGAGGATATGAGCTTTGTGACATCGCACAATGTCCTGCTGCGAGCAGCGGTTACTGTGGTCATAAAGGCATGGACATGCTCAGCAAAGATGCTCAGGCGTATACTGTGGCTCATTTATAGAAAATGTCCTCCACACCGTTGCACCACCAGCAGCCTGAAGCACTGATGCGTGGCCATGCTTTCATGTTGTTTTTACCGCACTGTGACCCTATCAAACCAGGCAACATTTCACAAACCTCTGTTATCTAATTTTGTGAGCCCACTCAAATTATAGCCTCAGTCTACTGTTCTTAGCTGACAGGAGGGGCCCTGGTGTGTAGACCATCTGCTTCAAGGTTTGACATGTTGTGTGTTTGGAGGTGCTCTTTTTGTTAACTAGTGGTTATTTGAGTTACTGTTGCCTTCCTATCACCTCAAATCAGTTCTCGTCCTACCTCTGGCATCAGCAACATACTATCACCCAGAGAACTGCTGCTCATTGGATCTATAAACCCTACAGATGGTTATGTGGAAAGATCCACATACTACTCAATTTCTGATCAGTAGATCAGACATTTGTGAAATGCTCAGTCCAGCATGCCTGGCACCACAACCACACCACATTCTGATGCTTGGTTTGAACTTTGAACCTTACACTAGACATCCCAAAAGGTTGATTCTGTTCATCTGGACGTTTTCAGTGGGAGAAACGTTTCGTCACTCATCCAGGTGACTTCTTCAGTCTCAGCTGACTGCAGGTTTCCCCAACCTTATAAACAGGACATTTGCACAATGACTGAAACTCGCACCACTGAATGAGCAATAGGCTGTGATGAACAGAACAGAATCAACCTTTTGGGATTTACTTACCTGGATGATTGAGCATGCATCAAGACTTAAACTAGACATTTCATTTTATCTTAACAGCTGTGGAGGAATCGAGGTGTATAATGAGAATGGGAAGATCAAGGTTTCCAACACGTTGGAGAGCAGGCTAGAACTCATTGCACAACAGGTAAAGTAACTTCGATGATATACCTCACATCCAAATCTTCTGCTGCTCACTGCAGTAGCTGCTGTTTGCCTGTGGAGGGCAGCAGAGCCCAACTTGCTTTCCAGTGGATCTAATTCGCTGAAGGGTGGAGAGCTGACAGAGAAAAATCAATTTAATCATTAAGACTATACTGTCATGCTAACAACGGATTTACTATATTTAAACTTGCTTTGAGTATTCAATGTTGCCATCGTGTCAATAACGCAAAAACTGGTTCATTTTTTTTTAGAGTAAAGCTGTGAAATCAAATGTGTAGTAATTACAGTCACTGCTGATTTATGTTCGTAAATTATTCAGCTTTGTTCAGGAGTAAGGTCTTTTGAGTATTTTCTGCAACAATTGTATTATTAATGTATAGGTATTAGAAAAATAATTTTAAGATTCTCTAAAGGCCCAAATGGTCTAGACCAGAAGCATCAAATGTAAGACCCGGAGAGCCGGAATCAGCCCATGGCTTTGGAGTTTTAAAAGCTGACCTCCCCTAACCTTTATTTAGTCCCTAAAATATCTCAATATATGTAGTTAAACTTCTTTAAAATCACAGAAAGGAGAATTTCACTGGTCTGACCCACTTAAGATCAAAGTGGGCTGTGGAATGAGACGTGGGTGGGCTAGAGCAGTCCTTTGTCTTTTCACAGAGATTCAGTACAAATGATCTTACACATCCAGGTGGAAAAAGCTTAAAGATAAACGGGATGTGCACTCGCACTTGTTGGCCTTGATCAGAACAGGAGCCACAGAAATTACATAGTTACATAGAAATTTGGGATGCTGTGTAAAATGTAAGCAATGACAGAGTGCATATTATTCCACTCTGTCATTGGATGTTTTTAGGAAACTACATGGATACTTAGAAATCTGGCATCCTGTGTAAAATATAAACAAAGAGTGCAATGAATGAATGTGCAATGATGTTTTTAAGAAATTACATAGTTATTTAGAAACTTGGGATGCTGTTTAAAATGCAAACAATGACAGAGTGCATTTATTTGCAGGTCATTTAAAGCCTTTTTGGTAGAAGAGCAACATATCAGGGATTGAAATAGGAAAAATTGATTGAATTCAAAATGAGTATATATGCCAGAAACGAGATTTAACATTTTTAGACAGTGGCAAAAAAATCAAATGACAAACTTTGTGTTCTTACAGCTGGAAAGGAATATCAAA